TGACCGTTCGTTTGTAGCGATTTAAATATTATTTTAAATATTTGATGACAAAAGAACAATTTACATCCATATCCTAGTTTTAAAGAATCAATCAATTTATTGATATTATAAGACTGGAAATGATATTGAGGTATTTTTATTTTTGTGTCAATTTTTTCGAAAAATGAACTTATAGAAACTCCATAAGATTGTACTGGATGCACAGTTCGGATTTCCACATGGAGTCAATCACGAAATTCTAGTGTATCTAGTTTTTAATAAGATTTCACTAGAAAACTAGAAAATTCTAGTGCGTGAAGTTGGCTCTCAGTAGTTTTTTATATAAATTATATGGCCTTTGGTGTGAAGTTGGCTTCGTTTGTGACGTCATTATTCGCACTAGATTTACTAGTTTTTCTAGTATTTACTAGCGTGATTCAGTGAGGCAGAAATTATAATAACAGCACGAAGTTAAAATTTATTTCCACACACCGTTTCTGACTTAGTTTTGGTACGAAACAAATATACGACAAATATTTACAGTTATTCGTCCATAAGTATATACAAAACACTTCTTTCGAAGTTCCCACTGTGACGCAATAATGTAAATCTGTAAATTTTCTGATATAAATTTTCAGTGACGCGTTCGTTCATATACATTCAAATGTTGATACAGTGTCAGATTTTCTTGTCTTTAACGTATTCATAGTGTGACGCAAAATATACATATTTCATATGTATGTGGGTATTGCGTCACTTGGGGGACTTTTAATAGTATTATTCATTTGAACATAAAAGCACTTTGCATATAATTATAGATATAGACAGAGAAATCCATATCTGTTTATATGTTGTCTATTTTGAAGATTTTAAATTGATAATTGCTCAATGATTTTAATGATTCGACGCACTCGGTGTTGAGGCATCAATATTTTTGTATTTCTGCTAATCAAAGTTCGCAGAAAAGCAATAAAAAATGCTTAAATTTTAAATTGAAGTCGAGAAACTTATCGGCAAAAGGAAGTACAAACAAAGAAAAGAAATGAAAAATGATTTATTTTGTCGACCATCGCTCATTCGTTCAGCAAGTTGAATAGAAAACTTCTTATTTTTATTATCTTTCGTTTGAAATATGCTGTTGTAAGTGACGAACACTACGAAAATGTGTTCAAAATCGACAATAAGAAAACAAAGAGAAACAGCGACACAAAAACCAGACGGACGAAGAAGCAAAAAATGAGATAGCGAAGCAAATAAATGTGAACAGAGAGGAATTCCGACCGCTCGTCTCATTTAAGTGAGAATACTCTCAGCAAGTCGATTCAACGCAAAAAAGTCATCGATTTTTTTTATTGATTGCATATTTTTACAGGTCGAATATATGATATACAAAAGATTTTGAGCCAGTAGTTGACTGTATTGTCGATAATGCATGTGTGAATATGAATGCGCTTATAAATATTTATATATATAGAACGTTTATGACTCTCTTTATCACTCTTGCTTGTTGCGCGATAAAATAATGGATACATATAATAATCAACTACAACACTATTCTGTTAAATAAATGGAATATATATACAGGGTGGGCCAGAATAACTGAAGGGTTTTTACTTTACATTCTTACGACTGTACAATGACTTTTGATTCAACCGGTCTTGCACCCTAGGGGCTTTCATGCAAGATTTTCTTTCCCGAATTCGACGAATAAACAAGATTATAACAAATGATGCAAATGTTTTCAAATAATGCAAATTTTTACCGATTTCACTATTTTGTGCAAAAAATTCACCGATCTTGGCCGATATGCGAAGTGTGTGTGTTCTGGAAGTGGGCTTACATATGCATATATCCCTGATTTGTCACCTGTCACGATTTTATACACTACATTTGATGCGCCTCGATTGTATTTGTTGAACATTTCTTTACACCAATTCACACGGACCATTTTTTGATCATCGGTCAAAGGATCCAACGCGAACAAATTTTTTTCACGGCCAAATGTTCATGCAAAATCGTGTGTATGATTTTAACAGAAATGCCCAAAGATGCCTCAATCTCACGGTATGTCACATGACGATCTTCCATTATCATGTTTCTGACAGCATCGATGTTTTGTGGAACAACAACTGATTTTGGACGACCTTCATAGGGCTCGTCTTTGAGCGAACCACGGCCACGATTGAATTCATTGTACCAACGTTTCAAATTTCAACGAAAATGTTCACGAGTTAATTCCATTTTTTCGCTGAGACGCAATTTACAAGTCACTATAAACAATACAAATAGCGATCGTATGACAAAACGTTCTGAGGACGTATACCCTAAAAAATGTCGAACTTTTCGAATGCGATAATGGTTTGCATCATGTAACACTAGAAATACTGTAGGCCCAAAATATAAGTAACAGCCCCCGTAAAATTAAATGTAAAAGATAATTCTTTTTATACAAAGAAGACCGCGTCGTTATGTCTGATTTTTTGTGCTTCTAAGATAATTGAAGTTAATTTAAAAATATTCAATAATATTAAAATCTAAAAATAAGTGAAAATAAATTAAATAAAATAAAAATAAAAATAATGAGTCGACCTTTGTGTGTTTGTATATATTGGTACCGCTTTGCAGCGGTATAGTCGTATGCAATCATACTAGCCGCTGTGTAATTGAACTATAATATTTATTTTATTACATAATTCGTCACGATATAATTTTTTTTATCTTTTTTGTTCACATTCATATTCTCTTTTTATATTTCTAAATAAATAAATATCGTACAAAATGTAATACAAAAACTGTCAAGTGTATTTTGTTAATAGGGATTTGCAAGTTTTCCATGTGGTCCACCTGTCAAAACGCTGTCGTCGACTTGTTCGACGGATTTGGTCCCGTTGGAACCATGGGTCCTGGTGTTTCAGCAGGATGGCGCACCTGCACACCGAGCTAAAACAGTGCAACAGTGGTAACGTACAAATTTGGTCGATTTCATTCACCGCCATAGTCTCCCGACTTAAACCCATTGGATTTTTTTGCTTGGGGCTACATGACATCGAAGCTCAATAGTCTAAAGACTACGATGGTCACCAATTTGAACACATTCAAAAAGAAAGTCGTTAAGATTTGGAACGAAAGAAGCCATAAGAAAACCATAGATTTATTGCCTAAAACGATAAAAAATAAAATTCACATATAGTTGGCGCTGCATTCTATGCAAACTTGTTTTCCGTTGCAACGGACTGAGTGGAAAGTATACGCTTATTAGCGCCAACTATACGTGAATTTTATTTTTTTTATCATTTTTTATCATTTTATTATATTATCAGTTAAATCCTACTAGAAAAAAATATATATATTCCATTTTATTCAAAAATGTGTTTTTTAGAGCCAAAAATAAAGCCTTCAGTTATTTTGGCCCACCCTGTATATATAGATATATCGCATCAAAAAAGCGGCTCTAAAAAGTAAACTACGAAAAGTAAGCATTGGAATGCAGCACAAAGAGAATAAGCGCTAAAACGCAAGATAATAAATGGTAAGTGAGTGAAGAAAGCAATAATCAAAAGCAACAACACTTCATGCCATGTTGCTCAAACAAAATAAAACAAAAGGTACTAATACGTATAACATGTTTGTTTGCTTGCACAGCCAATGTGCGAACAACTAAAAAGCAAAATGCTGACAAAAGACACGACCAGTGGTAAGAAAAAGGCAGAAAGAAGAACGAAGTGAAAAAGCAGCAGCATCGCCTTCATCGTCAATAATATGATGTGCGCATAAAGGCATTATATCCAGCAAGAAAACCAGACCGATACAACAGCAGCATTAGCCCAACTAACTAAGCCAACGTCGAAATATCGTGCAAGTATACGGTTGCAAGCATACCACACTTTTCATCACACTTTCAATCCATTTCTTTTTAACACTCTTGCGGCTATATTGCTTATAGAATCTTATCATAATTGCACCATTCACAAACTGAACACACCATTTGGTACAACGAACAACAACTATAAAAATAAAACAGCAAAAAATTCGAAAATAATAAAGTATATAAGAATATATAGTTGTATCCACTGAATTTTACGAATTCGTTGAACTTACTGGCGTAATTTATAATATATAAACGATTTTGGTCCGAGGCAAGTTTGTTCAGATTTAAAAGCAACAGAAATTAAGATTCCCATAATTTCATTTATTCGCCTCAAATTATTTGAAAATTTAAGTTAACTTAACCTTCTGCTGTGCTATTTATTGTTCACAAATAATGTGTAATATTATGCGTTGACAGACAATTTAACTAGTTTTTTTTGTAAAACTCATATGGTTTCGAAAAAGAACATAAAGCGTAAAACTATAAAGTTTCACGAATCTAATGTCGATTTTGTGATAACACAGCTTGCTAATTACATTACTAAATTGTAGGCTCAAATTATGCAGCATAAATGTGAATATATTAATGTCTAGATGGAAAAAATCAAATCAATCAAACGAATCTTGTTAAAATTACGAAGCCAATTGGTTCTTCACACATTCCTTTCAACTGTATGAGAGGGCCGGCACAGCTTGTCAGCATGACAATTTACAACATGTAACATATTACCTTTGCTGTTAAATCCATCTCTTACTATGTCGGTCAGTTAATATCGTTGTTTCCTTTGTGAACTTCTGTTTGCGCATATACTTTTATTTATTTTCGGTTCTCCTTTCAATGTTCTCTTCTCGGAATTTTTTCCGTTTCTCTTTGCTTTCTATTTCTGTAATACTGTAGTGCAGACGGATCTCACATTTGACTTTTGAAATCGCATGGTGTGCGAAAAATCGCTTCATATTGCCTTGCCGATGTTTTCCGACCGAATCATTCATGTACTGCAAATCACTAAAATAGCACGTATCTAGACAAATTTCATGCTGGACCCATCGGGCGATCAATGCCATCATGTCAGCTATTCAGGCCAAAATGGGAAAAAATCGGCAATTATATACGCCAAACATGCAAGCATTGCGTTTATTGTATATTGAGGTTCAACCGAAAAAGAATTCTCTGGGATGCGAAACAAGGCCGACGTAATGCAAAAGCCGAACGAATCACAAGATTGTTTACTTTCGAAGAGCAAGCCGATCGTAATCGAATTGCAGCTATGATTGGTGAAATGCCATCGCCAAAAGGACCATCATGGCGTTCGTACATTGAACATCGATTACGTGTAATGAATGATGGCATTGAAACATACTCAACCAAACAGTATGCACGCTTGGGACTGGACAAGCATATCGAATCGGTTCGTGCAATCGACAAAACGGCATGCAAAATGGTTCACAATCAACCATCAATTTTCTACATGGGAGCCAGCGGATCAACACCAGCTAATTCGCCGATTAAGATCAAGAAACATGTGCGATGTCCAGGCACACGGAAGCTGCTTGCGGCCATTATGAAACGTGGCAATTGCATCATTCGAATGGTCGATGAGTACATGACATCACAACATTGTCCATTGTGTTTCAAACGATTTCCACAAGAAACTCGACGTGATCGATACAAGAAATGTGTGGGTTGTGTACCAAATCCAATTGTTGGACTACCACGAACCATCGTAACCAATGTGAGCAAACGATTACTACAAATGCGACGAACAATTGAACGAATGTGGCGCGAGATGCGTGATATAGGCGATGTCATTGCTGCAACTCTTCGAGATGGACCGAATGCAGGTCGTTTGGTGTCAAAGAAGCAACGCTTCTTCAAAACATGGCTACCAAATGTTGCAAACGTTGAAATCGAGGGAGCTGCCGGAGCACAACCAACGCTCACAACTGTATGGCACCGTGATATCGCAGCAGCGAAGCTGATCCTCTACAAAGGTATGCAATCAATTGAAATTGATACAAATTTTGAAGCAATTGTTATACATGTAATGTGTTTTTGTTATGTATCATTCGGTAGGTGAATGCGTGGTGTTCAAGCGGACAATTCATCCAAATGTACGGAGACCACGCCGTGTTGACAACAATCAGCCATTGCCGTTGTATCGAGGTCAGAATCAGAATGTCAACAATGGACATCTGCAGCCGCAGTAGTAGCAGCCCTCATTCAACAACATTCAAACAATACTAAATTTAGAAATTAGTTTATAACAATTATTTGTTAGTTCGCTAGGCTTGATTAAATTGTGGCCTTGCCAAAGTACGAGTACCTCTTGGTATAAATTGTACTCGGTAAGTGGAGTCTATTGCATATAAAATAGCATAATGATGATTATGAATCAAGTCAATTTTTTCATATCAGTCTAATTGAATTGTGCATTCTTTTCTTTTTTTCTTTCCATTGCGACGGTAAAATTGACTGAAACTACACACGAATGCTACCCCAAATTCGACCGTAAACTTGGGCCTGGTAATGGGTGATTTGCGCTAACAATTGTTCCTTGGGAAGCAAAGTATAAACGAAAAGTAGCAACATGTTACAAACAATTTTATACCGAGCAAAAGCCAAAGCAACAGTGATATGGTAAAAACGCGATGACGGAGTACATACTATATACATACAATGTATTTTGTTTGGACCACTGAACCATAGCTGTCCACGAACGTTCGTTCGTTCGTTCGTAGAATATTTTTTTGGTCTTTTTGTTCGTTCGTTCGTTCGTAGAAAATGAATTTTTCGGATTGTTCGTTCGTATGTTCGTACGAACAACGAACACGTAGTTCTGGAATCCAGGACAAATCCTGAGAATCCATGGATCAGCAGAATTCCACTGGATTTGGACTTTAGGCCATCGAACCACTCAGGCTTTGCTTATTTTTCACGATTTCCCATCTGAAAAGTGGGAAAAATCGATTTAAAGTTTTCCCAATTTACATTTATTATCGCAATATTTGTTTACATTCAGAAAATAAATTTCCAAAAATTACGAACGAACGAACGTGTTCGTTGTTCGTTGTTCGTACGAACATACGAAGGAACAATCCGAACAATTCATTTTCTACGAACGAACAAAATATACATTGAAAACGAACGAACGGTTCGTTCGTTGGTGTTCGTGGACAGCTATGCACTGAACTGCTTGATCAAATTTGGCGCCATTGATTACTGAAACCCACATCCTAAATAAGAGTTTCTGGTTATTAGTTCGATGTTTGTTTGACAGTATGATTACGTATATGTCAGTTGCGCCGCCACAATACTTTACACAAACTACTATAATTCAGAGTCAAAATAGTTTTTGCGTGTATACGATACCACTGGAAAAACGATTCTTCATGGAAAATATTAGATTTGTAGTAGCTCTTAACATCGATTATACGTATAAACTGGCCAGAAAAAGAAGAATAAAAATCAGCTCAAAAAATGTTCGAAGTGGCTTTTTTGGACCTCCAAGAAAATGAAAAAATTAATGTGTATTGTGTTCCTTCACAACACTATGGTGATATGTTATTATTTTTTATAATTGATTTTATTTCTCCAGAATATGCTGCGAATATACATTTTATTCTTTTATACTTAGGGGAAGTGGGGGCAAATCGATACACTTTTTTGTGTTGACCAAATTTTCAACCAAATGAAAAGATATTAGCAAACTGTGAATACCATTTGATAGTTGATTGAAAAGCCAAACTTTCTAGATCATCTGTGCACTATGTGTATGCGTGACTATGTGTACTATACACTGTGTAGTGTATATAAAATTGCGGAGGAGACTTGTCGTAGTCGAAGCCGCCATCGTTGCGCAATTTTAGTTCGTGCTCAGAGCAGCGAACATGCACGACAAGCACATTTTTATCATCTGTGTGCGAATTAAAAGAAAAATTGCTATCAAAAAATATTTTGTTTGTTGTGTGAAAATTCAAGTAATTTATCGCAATCTAAATTTGAGAAAACGAAACAAAAAACTATTCGAGGTAAGCGGTGGGAAAATTGCTTTTTATTGTAAATCCGAATCCTATAACGTATAGTATAGTTATTTTTTTATCGTTTTTTTTTTGTATTTTGCGATATCATTTGTAGATCGATTTGTATTTCAAATCGTGTCCAACATCTGATATATAGATAAAATTTCCTATTCTTTCCATAATTGCGACTTTATGTATATATATTGTAATGCTCATTTGCGAATGACGCCGCTCGCAGCTGAAGAACGTTCAAATTGCGTTTGTGATGGTATATCAGAAAAAATTAATAACTTCATCATTTTGTAGGTACTTTTTCGAAGATTTTCAAACCAAATCGGAATGCAATGGAACGACCGCAGCAGCGGCAGCCACGCGAATCGTTCTGTATTGCACGAGAGAGAAGCGGCAATAACAGCAGCAACAGCAACAACAATAAAAAATGTAATTTTATTACTCTGCAAATCAGACAGTGGCATTTTTTTTCGGCCACATTTTCATTTTAATCATGGAATAGCTGTCGATGAACATAACCACAAAATTGGTGTGTTTCCATAGTTGTGATTATGTTCAGTGGCAACTTCAAAAAAAAAACAACCACTGTCTGATTTGCAGAGTATTTTTCACAAACACTTTGCCGCTTACGTTTTTCAATGCATTTTGTAAATATTTTTTGGTTCTGTTCAATGTGTAGTTAACGGCACAATTGTGTAGTCCTTGAAGAAAAAAGAGAGCAGCCAAATGTACATATCAATGAATCGACGCTAAGAAGGAGTTGAGGATATTAGTACTAGCAATTTTAAACGACAATTGGTGACGCCCTTGATATGAAGTTAAATGACGCGTTTTTTGTCTCTTCTTTTCTGTTATCAACAATGCATTATTTATTTAATTGTTTTTTTTTTTATGTTAAATGTTTTGCATGACACACTCCACTCACACGCCATTCGTATATGAATTCTATGTTAGTGGAGAGTTTCTCTGCTTACTTTGCTTGCTATTTTGTCTATCAAAAAAATTAGATTCACTGTAGGCTATCACCAAGTTATGTATCGTAAACTTTCAGATGCATTTAATGAAGCGAATAGTGATCGACGAGCTCAGCGACGAATCACTTAATTCAAAAAGAGGAAACAGCAAAAGGTAAGAAATCGCAAATTGCATCATATTGTTAACAAAAAAATACATTTCTCTGGTGAAAAGTGTGTGAAACGTTGTTGAAATATTAAAATTATTATTGATTATTATTGATGAAATTATTTGTGATATTTGGTCATTTTCAAAGACTATTCACCAGCGAAAGACCATATATGTCTTTATGTATGCAGTAATTGTTCTTTTATTTTCATTCAATAGCTTGCCGCCAGAAGACGAAAATTGGCTGTGTCTGCATCATCATCATCATCATCATCATCATCATCATCATCATCATCATCA